TATAGGGACAGGAACAGATGTGACACTACTCACATTGCATAATAACCATTAATCACCTGGGATTGGTGTGGAAATTTTACTATGTTCAAGGTCATATCTTTGTGGAAGTCACTTTTACTGTAATCTGGATAGACATTTCACAAAGCTATGCAAGTAGTCGGTCTGTCTGCACAGGTAGTCGGTCAGTACCCATACATAGTTTGTCTTCACAGGTAGTCTCTTTCCACAGGTAGTCTGTCCCCATAGGTAATCTGTCCCAATAAGTAATCTGTCTTTACAGGGAGTCTGTCCCCACAGATATTCTGTCCCCATAGGTAATCTGTCCCCTTAAGTAATCTGTCTTTACAGGTAATCTGTCCCAATAGGTAATCTAACCCGATAAGTAATCTGTCTTTACAGGTAATCTGTCCCCACAGATATTCTGTCCCCATAGGTAATCTAACCCGATAAGTAATCTGTCTTTACAGGTAATCTGTCCCCACAGATATTCTGGCCCCATAGGTAATCTGTCCCGATAAGTAATCTGTCTTTACAGGGAGTCTGTCCCCACAGATATTCTGTCCCCATAGGTAATCTGTCCCCTTAAGTAATCTGTCTTTACAGGTAATCTGTCCCCATAGGTAATCAGGTCTCTACAGGTAATCTGTCCCCACAGATATTCTGTCCCCATAGGTAATCTGTCCCGATAAGTAATCTGTCTTTACAGGTAATCTGTCCCCACAGATATTCTGTTCCCATAGATAATCTGTCCCCATAGGTAATCAGGTCTCTACAGGTAATCTGTCCCCACAGATATTCTGTTCCCATAGGCAATCTGTCCCGATAAGTAATCTGTCTTTACAGGTAATCTGTCCCCATAGGTAATCTAACCCGATAAGTAATCTGTCTTTACAGGTAATCTATCCCCACAGATATTCTGTCCCCATAGGTAATCTGTCCCGATAAGTAATCTGTCTTTACAGGTAATCTGTCCCCACAGATATTCTGTTCCCATAGGTAATCTGTCCCCATAGGTAATCAGGTCTCTACAGGTAATCTGTCCCCACAGATATTCTGTCCCCATAGGTAATCTGTCCCGATAAGTAATCTGTCTTTGCAGGTAATCTGTCCCCACAGATATTCTGTTCCCATAGGTAATCAGGTCTCTACAGGTAATCTGTCCCCACAGATATTCTGTCCCCATAGGTAATCTGTCCCGATAAGTAATCTGTCTTTACAGGTAATCTGTCCTCACAGATATTCTGTTCCCATAGGTAATCTGTCCCGATAAGTAATCTGTCTTTACAGGTAATCTGTCCCCATAGGTAATCTAACCCGATAAGTAATCTGTCTTTACAGGTAATCTGTCCCCACAGATATTCTGTCCCCATAGGTAATCTGTCCCGATAAGTAATCTGTCTTTACAGGTAATTTGTCCCCACAGATATTCTGTCCCCATAGGTAATCAGGTCTCTACAGCTAATGTCCCCATAAGTAATCTGTCTTTACAGGTAGTTTTTTGTCTGTATAGCTAGTTTTTTTGTCTGTATATTTAGTTTTTTTGTCTATATAGCTAGTTTTTTGGTCTGTATAGCTAGTTTTTTGTCTGTGTAGCTAGTTTTGTCTCCATAGCTAGTGTATAGCTAGTTTTTTGTCTGTATAGTTATTTTTTTGTCTATATAGCTAGTTTTTTGGTCTGTATAGCTAGCTTTTTGTCTGTGTAGCTAGCTTTGTCTCCATAGCTAGTTTTTGGTCTGCTAGTTTTTGGTCTGTATAGCTAGTTTTTTGCCTGTATAGCTAGTTTTTTTGTCTGTATATTTAGTTTTTTGTCTGTATAGCTAGTTTTTTGGTCTGTATAGCTAGTTTTTTGTCTGTGTAGCTAGCTTTGTCTCCATAGCTAGTTTTTGGTCTGTATAGCTAGTTTTTTGTCTGTATTGCTAGTTTTTTGTCTGTATAGCTAGTTTTTGGTCTGTATAGTTATTTTTTTGTCTGTATAGCTAGTTTTTGGTCTGTATAGTTATTTTTTTGTCTGTATAGCTAGTTTTTTGGTCTGTATAGCTAGTTTTTTGTCTGTGTAGCTAGCTTTGTCTCCATAGCTAGTTTTTGGTCTGTATAGCTGGTTTTTGGTCTGTATAGTTATTTTTTTGTCTGTATAGCTAGTTTTTTGGTCTGTATAGCTAGTTTTTGGTCTGTATAGCTAGTTTTTTTGTCTGTGTGGCTAGTTTTTTGGTCTGTATAGTTAGTTTTGTGTCTGTATAGTTAGTTTTTTTGGTCTGTATAGCTAGTTTTTGGTCTGTATAGTTATTTTTTGTCTGTATAGCTAGTGTTTTGGTCTGTATAGCTAGTTTTGTGACTGTATAGTTAGTTTTTATGTCTATATAGCTAGTTTTTTGGTCTGTGTTGGTAGTTTTTTTTTGTCTCCATAGCTAGTTTTTTGTCTGTATAGTTGGTTTTTTTGTCTGTATAGTTAGATTTTTGTCTGTATAGCTAACTTTTTTGTCTCCATAGCTAATGTTTTGTCTGTATAGCTAGATTTTGTCTGTATAGCTAATGTTTTGTCTGTATAATGTTTTGTCTGTATAGCTAGATTTTGTCTGTATAGCTAGATTTTGTCTGTATAGCTAATGTTTTGTCTGTATAGCTAGTGTTTTGTCTGTATAGCTAGATTTTGTCTGTATAGCTAATGTTTTGTCTGTATAGCTAGATTTTGTCTGTATAGCTAATGTTTTGTCTGTATAGCTAGATTTTGTCTGTATAGCTAATGTTTTGTCTGTATAGCTAGATTTTGTCTGTATAGCTAATGTTTTGTCTGTATAGCTAGATTTTGTCTGTATAGCTAGATTTTGTCTGTATAGCTAATGTTTTGTCTGTATAGCTAGTGTTTTGTCTGTATAGCTAGATTTTGTCTGTATAGCTAATGTTTTGTCTGTATAGCTAGATTTTGTCTGTATAGCTAATGTTTGGTCTGTATAGCTAGATTTTGTCTGTATAGCTAGAAGATTTTGTCTGTATAGCTAATGTTTTGTCTGTATAGCTAGATTTTGTCTGTATAGCTAATGTTTTGTCTGTATAGCTAGATTTGGTCTGTATAGCTAATGTTTTGTCTGTATAGCTAGATTTTGTCTCTATAGCTAGTTTTTTTGTCAGTGTAGCTATTTTTTGTATGTAAACCTAGTTTGTCTCTACAGCTAGTTTGTTTCAATAACCCAAAGGTAGACAGATGCCTTTGAGTAATTAATATCTGAAATCTTTCTGTATATATTCAGACTTCTGTTACCTTGACCATTAAAACAATCTATTCAAATTCTCCCCACTACCATAAAGTCATGTGATTAACATTTGTTTTAATCTAGTCCCTAACTACCAATGTTCCTTGCCATTAAAGTTTAAGACAGAATTTGGCGGTATCATCAAATGACAGCTGGTAGACTTGACTACACTTAACAACCTGAAATTGCAATGCAGACAGTCGGCCATGCTTTCACACTTTACATAAATCCACATGGATGTGTCTATAAAATAGCCATTGGATGCCAATTTATTTGAGAGATGGAGCCTAGGTCAGGGTAGCTAGCCTTTGGACCCATTGCCTCAAATATATCAATGACAATTTCCTTTCTAATTTGCATCACACCAGGTGATAAAAAAGAAGAACTTGGTTTTTCAGCAGAATATTGAATTGGAGACATAAAGATGTATTGTTAAATATACCATCCAATAACTGTAAAGCTGTAATTATTTTCCTTAGTTTCACTACCGATGATAAAAACTCCATTTCCATGATTCTCACCAACATTCATCAACCTGGATGATAGAACCCATCCCTCAGCACTAATACATTAGATACTATTTACTAGTGATACATGAGGAATTGAGGTATTAGGCATACAATATCATACGTCATACATTTATACAGTTTCCTATAACTAGACAACTGTGACCTATATTTCACCTCAGCAAGCATGACATGTATATAAGGCTCAGACCATTCAAATTATAAATTTAAATCCTAGCAATAAAAGTCATGTAATTTGAATTCAAAAGTTATTACTTCTTTCAATCTAAGTCTTAATGGAAACAGTTAGGGGGATTTAAAACCAGATTGTTTTTAATATACTGACAGCAGTCTGATTCTGATAACCAACTCCAATGTATAATGGTACAGAAATTTTTAAATACACTTCCATCTTTTTCATTGTCACTAAAATTCCCCTTTAAAAGATTCATTCATTAAGCTATGAAACAATGTTCATTCTGATTCAGTCAACAAGCACCAAGACTGTGTTACTGGGTAGGTTGTTATCAACAAGATATTTCACAACTTTTGCTTTTGACAAATCATTGATCCATCACGAATGTTATAGAAAATGATGGATTTATTGTTTCTTTTATGCAAGACAAAATGCCTTGTTGATGTTAATTCAGTGATGACACTTTAACTCTGCCAGAAGGCATGCAGGGTCAAGGCTTAGACATATAAGTTAATAAGCCTTATAGTCAAGTAGCAAATGAGAGAGATGACTTGACAATGTTGAAACTTTACTAAAAAATACATGTAAGGAAGACAACTTTTCTCGGGGAAAAATATAAAAAAAATAGTAATGGAAAGAACCTTACTGAAATTAACAAGTAACAGAAATAACAGAAAAATGACAAGAGTGTAACTTTACTGAACATGACTGGTAAGGGAGATAACTGAAATAGCAAGCTAGGGAGATAACCTGAATGAAAATGGCAAGTAATGGAGATAATTTTATTCACAATTACAAGTAAGGGAGATAACTTGAATGAAAATGACAAGCGAGGGAGGTAATTTTATTGAAAATAACAAGTAATGGTAAAAACTAGACTGAAAAAACAAATAATAATGATGAATTTACTGAAAATAGCAAATGAGTGTGATAATGTTACTATCAAAACACATGACAGGGAAATAATACTAATGAAGACGGAAAGTAAAGGCAATAAATTAACTGAAAATATCAAACAGGGGAGGAGAATCAAAACTGCTGAACACTCACCTCACTGGCAACTTCTGTCAAGGCTGTCAGGGCCTGTAGTGTTTGTATCACCTCAAGCTGTAATGAAGACAAACCATTTACACATCTTTTGTAATGAGCACAGACATAGACAGGATTATTGCCTATGCACTGTTGTGGGTACACAGATAACAAGTGTAATGGCATATATACAAATGTTACTTATCACTATATATGGTACATTAATAACAGGACATTTATTTGTTTTCTGTTGATCAACAAAGCCTGTATGTACCATTCTGAAAGCACATATGTTTATGTGTGAAAGAAAAATTCTACACAGAATGATGCACAGGGTGATAATTAGAGTATAGATTGAAGATATCATGGAGGGACAAGGAGGAGAACTAGAGTGAATACAGAAGGGACAAGGAGAAGAACTAGAGTGAATACAGAAGGGACAAGGAGAAGAACTAGAGTGAATACAGAAGGGACAAGGAGAAGAACTAGAGTGAATACAGAAGGGACAAGGAGAAGAACTGGTGTGAATACAGAAAGGACAAGGAGAAGAACTAGAGTGAATACAGAAGGGACAAGGAGAAGAACTGGTATGAATACAGAAGGGACAAGGAGAAGAACTGGTATGAATACAGAAGGGACAAGGAGAAGAACTTGTATGAATACAGAAGGGACAAGGAGAAGAACTTGTATGCATACAGAAGGGACAAGGAGAAGAACTAGAGTGAATACAGAAGGGACAAGGAGAAGAACTAGAGTAAATACAGAAGGGACAAGGAGAAGAACTGGTGTGAATAGAGAAGGGACAAGGAGAAGAACTAGAGTGAATACAGAAGGGACAAGGAGATGAACTAGAGTGAATACAGAAGGGACAAGGAGAAGAACTGGTGTGAATACAGAAGGGACAAGGAGAAGAACTAGAGTGAATACAGAAGGGACAAGGAGAAGAACTGGTATGAATACAGAAGGGACAAGGAGAAGAACTGGTATGAATACAGAAGGGACAAGGAGAAGAACTAGAAAGAATACAGAAGGGACAAGGAGAAGAACTGGTATGAATACAGAAGGGACAAGGAGAAGAACTAGAAAGAATACAGAAGGGACAAGGAGAAGAACTGGTGTGAATACAGAAGGGACAAGGAGAAGAACTGGTGTGAATACAGAAGGGACAAGGAGAAGAACTAGAGTGAATACAGAAGGGACAAGGAGAAGAACTGGTATGAATACAGAAGGGACAAGGAGAAGAACTGGTATGAATACAGAAGGGACAAGGAGAAGAACTAGAGTGAATACAGAAGGGACAAGGAGATGAACTAGAGTGAATACAGAAGGGACAAGGAGAAGAACTAGAGTGAATACAGAAGGGACAAGGAGAAGAACTGGTGTGAATACAGAAGGGACAAGGAGAAGAACTAGAGTGAATACAGAAGGGACAAGGAGAAGAACTGGTGTGAATACAGAAGGGACAAGGAGAAGACCTAGAGTGAATACAGAAGGGACAAGAAGAACTAGAGTGAATACAGAAGGGACAAGATGAACTAGAGTGAATACAGAAAGGACAAGGAGAAGAACTGGAGTGAATACAGAAGGGACAAGGAGAAGAACTGGTATGAATACAGAAGGGACAAGGAGAAGAACTGGTATGAATACAGAAGGGACAAGGAGAAGAACTAGAGTGAATACAGAAGGGACAAGGAGAAGAACTGGTATGAATACAGAAGGGACAAGGAGAAGAACTAGAGTAAATACAGAAGGGACAAGAAGAACTAGAGTGAATACAGAAGGGACAAGGAGAAGAACTGGTGTGAATACAGAAGGGACAAGGAGAAGAACTAGAGTGAATACAGAAGGGACAAGGAGAAGAACTAGAGTGAATACAGAAGGGACAAGGAGAAGAACTAGAGTGAATACAGAAGGGACAAGGAGAAGAACTGGTGTGAATACAGAAGGGACAAGGAGAAGAACTAGAGTGAATACAGAAGGGACAAGGAGAAGAACTAGAGTGAATACAGAAGGGACAAGGAGAAGAACTAGAGTGAATACAGAAGGGACAAGGAGAAGAACTAGAGTGAATACAGAAGGGACAAGGAGAAGAACTTGTGTGAATACAGAAGGGACAAGGAGAAGAACTGGTGTGAATACAGAAGGGACAAGGAGAAGAACTAGAGTGAATACAGAAGGGACAAGGAGAAGAACTAGAGTGAATACAGAAGGGACAAGGAGAAGAACTGGTGTGAATACAGAAGGGACAAGGAGAAGAACTAGAGTAAATACAGAAGGGACAAGGAGAAGAACTGGTGTGAATACAGAAGGGACAAGGAGAAGAACTAGAGTAAATACAGAAGGGACAAGAAGAACTGGTGTGAATACAGAAGGGACAAGGAGAAGAACTAGAGTGAATACAGAAGGGACAAGGAGAAGAACTTGTATGCATACAGAAGGGACAAGGAGAAGAACTGGTGTGAATACAGAAGGGACAAGGAGAAGAACTAGAAAGAATACAGAAGGGACAAGGAGAAGAACTAGAGTGAATACAGAAGGGACAAGGAGAAGAACTAGAGTGAATACAGAAGGGACAAGGAGAAGAACTGGTGTGAATACAGAAGGGACAAGGAGAAGAACTGGTGTGAATACAGAAGGGACAAGGAGAAGAACTAGAAAGAATACAGAAGGGACAAGGAGAAGAACTAGAGTGAATACAGAAGGGACAAGGAGAAGAACTGGTGTGAATACAGAAGGGACAAGGAGAAGAACTAGAAAGAATACAGAAGGGACAAGGAGAAGAACTAGAGTGAATACAGAAGGGACAAGGAGAAGAACTGGTGTGAATACAGAAGGGACAAGGAGAAGAACTAGAGTGAATACAGAAGGGACAAGGAGAAGAACTAGAGTGAATACAGAAGGGACAAGGAGAAGAACTTGTATGCATACAGAAGGGACAAGGAGAAGAACTAGAGTGAATACAGAAGGGACAAGGAGAAGAACTGGTGTGAATACAGAAGGGACAAGGAGAAGAACTGGTATGAATACAGAAGGGACAAGGAGAAGAACTAGAGTGAATACAGAAGGGACAAGGAGAAGAACTGGTGTGAATACAGAAGGGACAAGGAGAAGAACTGGTATGAATACAGAAGGGACAAGGAGAAGAACTAGAGTGAATACAGAAGGGACAAGGAGAAGAACTGGTGTGAATACAGAAGGGACAAGGAGAAGAACTGGTATGAATACAGAAGGGACAAGGAGAAGAACTAGAGTGAATACAGAAGGGACAAGAGAAGAACTGGTGTGAATACAGAAGGGACAAGGAGAAGAACTGGTATGAATACAGAAGGGACAAGGAGAAGAACTAGAGTGAATACAGAAGGGACAAGGAGAAGAACTAGAAAGAATACAAAAGGGACAAGGAGAAGAACTAGAGTGAATACAGAAGGGACAAGGAGAAGAACTAGAGTGAATACAGAAGGGACAAGGAGAAGCACTAGAGTGAATACAGAAGGGACAAGGAGAAGAAATGGTGTGAATACATGAAGTTAAAGAAGATGTGTTTGTTTAATACTATCAATGTTTACAAAGGTGAAATCAGATTTCCAACTTTCATTAATTATCGCTACTTTACAACAGCAATAGGCAAACAGCCAGTGAAGCATTTAAGAATTGGTTTCAGTGCTGCGAAGCCTCAAACTACACTTCTGCTCATCAATTATTCAGTACTTTAAAACCCAACGCTTCATAAATTTGTGAAAATGCTATATATCATAGTGTGTGCTATCTGTAATTGATGTAACAATTACATGGCTTTCATAGCCCCAGATGAGTAAGTGTGCTTTACTAAAATATCTCTAAATAAAAAATCGCTACTTAAGAAAAAAATCTGATGTATTCTATGTTCAATATTTTTCTCTTTCATGTTTCACAGATACATGACCATTTCATTTGTCTGGTAATGCTATTCAGAGTCTATTTTCTATTGTACCTATTTCTCTTCTTTTTAGAAAATTTTAACAAAACACTACATAATGATTATATTTTCCAGCTTCAAATTAATATACAACAACATGTTTACCAAAAATCCCAATCATTTTCTACATTTGAATGATTACATTCTTTATATACATGTTTACCATCAATGCTACTTCTGTCACATAAGATTACAAACTTTTGTATGCTGCAGAACAAAATCAAGTTCAAACTTACCTCATCCCTCATTGGCAAGTCTTTGAGTCTTCTCAAAAGGTTGTATCGAATCACCTGTCTTAGTTTATTGTCCTTTGACCCATACTGTGGCAATTGATTAAGTCTTGTTGCTAGGTAACGAACAAGCACCTTCACCCTGTGTTCATAGCCTTGCTCCTGAGCCTTGACAATGGAACCATTTCCATTGAAAGCTTCATGAAATCTGCAACATTTAAAATTTAATATCTATGAGAATCTTTGGCAACATTTAATTCGGAAATTGATTCATCATCTATTGCAAAACAACCAGAACAAATTTTCATTGTCAAAATCCATGATGGCAGCTGTCAGCCACTTTGCTCTCTTATCAGTCTTAAAATTGAAAGGGCATTGCTAAAGGGCCCAAGGGAATCTACAAGTGAATTTTGAGAAATATCAATTCTGTATTATTCAAGAAATAGGGATCAGAAATTTTTACTGTCAAAATTCAAAACAGCCTGTCATCCATTTTCTTTTTCTGATCAGTGTCAAAAGAGCTTGCATCAGGTAAAAATTATGAAAAATCTGTCATATTTTTTATCCTCACCCCATATACTCCCGACAAAAAACAAATTAGTAATATATTCTGTAACTTTCTGTAACCAGTTTCAACATTTTGTCAAAACTGAAAATCCTGCAAATAATGATTCCTAATCACTGAAGTAATCTTTTTCTTTATCTAATTCAAGATTCAACATCCCAACAAACTTGGCATCAACTTCCATTTTCATAAGCAAGGATTTCCATCAAGGAAAAAGTATAAAAACATGACATTAACTATAATGAAAAGAGTCACTTTATTTCTAGGAAACAAGACACTGTCTGCTTTAGAGTAGTGTGATGAATATTTATCAAGCCTCATGAATTTCCGGGAGGCTAAAGCACACACATACACACTATACATCCATGATCAGGTAATATAGACACCAAGCCAATTATTTTGTGATCCAATAGTATTACATCTGTACAAACTAAAAACCATTTCTATGGAAACGTATACATACAGCTAATTATTCTCCATCAGTCCAATCAGATATTTTGCTAATTGAAAACAATTTCTGAGCCTTGGCTAGTAGCAGTATTTAGACCTAATAAGCGTATCATCCCTAAGTGTTAAACATTGTGCTTTCTATAATCGCAGTATCATTATCTATCACCTTCCATGAAAAAAAAGCATTTTAATTTCTACTGTTGTTGTGTGTTTCCAGCTAGTCCAGTGTCTTTTACCAATGTGAGAGTGGATGAAGGTCATTTTGTGATCTTTCACTCAAGTATGCTAAATTACAGATGCAATATGACTCTTGGCCTCTCTGTCCTACAGGAGAAGTGTCTTAATGAGAAATTTTGATACTTGACCCTATCATATGCTCAGTTGCTCTTCAGGCAAATGCACTGTAATAATTCATCTCACCTAAAAATTGTACCTACAACTTACCACATACTGGGGAATATAGTAACTGATATTTGGAAACAAGCTATAAGAATCCTAAATTTAATAATTATTGATATCCTGGTAGAAAATAAGCAAGAACTGCTAGTTAACAGTGCATTCTTCATCCATTTCACACAAAATAAAGACAATTTTGAAAGAAAGCATTTTAGGGTGTAGTCATGTGTCTGTTATTGTACCAGTTTTTTGTATGATATAGTACATGTTATTGTTACATTGTATAATTGATCAAATATAACCTGACAGATATTTAACTCCAAGCAAATCTTGTCTCTTTGAAGTTAGTTCAATATACAAAAGATGTTAAGAATAATTGTACAGAATATCATTCTAAATTCAAAGAGAAAACTTTACCTGAACACTCCTTCTTCCTGTATCAAACTATATCTTTGAACACAAACTTTCTGATTCAACTCGAAGCTTTTCTTCTGTATGAATGACTGCTGCATAAAGTTTCTACACAACCCAGCTGCATACCCTTATCAAGCTCTCTAGTGATAATCAGGTTAATTAAATCATAGTCTGCCATATGTTTGCAAGATCAATTACATACAATGTACCATTAAAGCAGGAAGACAGGATCGAAGAGGAAGCCCTGTCAACCACATTTGGTCACACACAATTTGATTACCAAGTACTTCCTCTATCCTGTTTCTGTGAAACAGCTCTACACCGGATTTAAAAACACACAAGGCTATCATTACTGCAAACCATACCAGCTATATATTGTTTACAAGAACTACTGACCTTCGATAATTATTTTTCATTGACTAACATTTCAAAATGTGAAGTTCTACTATTCCATGATAAACTACTACAAATCAAACAAGAATGTCCGGTTGTTTACTTCAGACATCTTAATGGTGGTTAACAATATTGACAAACGGGACACTGAACTCTAACTTTCATTATCATTCATAGAGAGCAAACAGTATACAGGCACAATGTCAATAGGCCTCTGCTCTTCAGGTGCTTTATTGGTCAGCTCTGATTGGTCAACTGGACATTGGTCATGATCATGTTGGTTGTAAATATAGACTTTATCTATGGCATGCTTCCTGATAAAGGTTACAACTCTCTCTTAATGACGTAGAAATATCCAGGGCTGATTCATCACTCCTTATTCACATATCCCTTTGATTCCTCTGATATTATTTCAAGATATTTTTGATGATTTAAGTTTTTGATTGATAATACAAATCCGTTTTGAATCAAACATTTGCAGATTTATTGAATTTTGACAAAAGCATCTAAATTCCTCTGTTCAAATCATCTTCAAATCATTATTCTCTGATAATTTAATAACTTTTTTGCTTGGCAATGTACCTGAAATTTAGATTGTGTCTACCTTGTTAGTATACCTGAAGGTTTAGTGGTTGTCTACCTTGTTATTGTACCTGAAGGTTCAGTGGTTGTCTACCTTGTTAGTATACCTGAAGGTTTAGTGGTTGTCTACCTTGTAAGTGTACCTGAAGGTTCAGTGGTTGTCTACCTTGTTAGTATACCTGAAGGTTTAGTGGTTGACTACCTTGTTAGTGTACCTGAAGGTTCAGTTGTTGTCTACCTTGTTAGTATACCTGAAGGTTCAGTGGTTGTCTACCTTGTTAGTATACCTGAAGGTTCAGTTGTTGTCTTCCTTGTTAGTATACCTGAAGGTTCAGTTGTTGTCTACCTTGTTAGTATACCTGAAGGTTCAAATGTTGTCTACCATGTTAGTATACCTGAAGGTTCAGTTGTTGTCTACCTTGTTAGTATACCTGAAGGTTCAAATGTTGTCTTCCTTGTTAGTATACCTGAAGGTTCAAATGTTGTCTACCTTGTTAGTATACCTGAAGTTTCAATTTTGTCTTCCTTGTTAGTATACCTGAAGGTTCAGTTGTTGTCTACCTTGTAAGTATACCTAGGGTTCAGTGGTTGTCTACCTTGTTAGTGTACCTGAAGGTTCAAATGTTGTCTACCTTGTTAATATACATGAAGGTTCAAATGTTGTCTACCTTGTTAGTATACCTGAAGTTTCACTTTTGTCTTCCTTGTTAGTATACCTGAAGTTTCAATTTTGTCTACCTTGTTAGTATACCTGAAGGTTCAAATGTTGTCTACCTTGTTAGTATACCTGAAGTTTCAATTTTGTCTTCCTTGTTAGTATACCTGAAGGTTCAGTTGTTGTCTATCTTGTTAATATACCTGAAGGTTCAAATGTTGTCTACCTTGTTAGTATACCTGAAGTTTCAATTTTGTCTTCCTTGTTAGTATACCTGAAGATTCAGTTGTTGTCTACCTAGTTAATATACCTGAAGGTTCAAATGTTGTCTACCTTGTTAGTATACCTGAAGTTTCAATTTTGTCTTCCTTGTTAGTATACCTGAAGGTTCAGTTGTTATCTACCTAGTTAATATACCTGAAGGTTCAAATGTTGTCTACCTTGTTAGTATACCTGAAGTTTCAATTTTGTCTTCCTTGTTAGTATACCTGAAGGTTCAGTTGTTGTCTACCTAGTTAATATACCTGAAGGTTCAAATGTTGTCTACCTTGTTAGTATACCTGAAGTTTCAATTTTGTCTTCCTTGTTAGTATACCTGAAGGTTCAGTTGTTGTCTACCTAGTTAATATACCTGAAGGTTCAGTTGTTGTCTACCTAGTTAATATACCTGAAGGTTCAAATGTTGTCTACCTTGTTAGTATACCTGAAGGTTCAGTTGTTGTCTACCTAGTAAATATACCTGAAGGTTCAAATGTTGTCTACCTAGTTAATATACCTGAAGGTTCAAATGTTGTCTACCTTGTTAGTATACCTGTGATTCGACTCATTTTTTTTTTTTTTTTGTTATTCAATTAAAAAGATTTTTCCTCAGTTTTGATAAATATGTAGGATTGTACTAAAGACACATATGTGGAATTGCACATTTCAATTTAAGAGTATGAAACTGCATCATCCAGCTGTTTCAGCCTCTAAGACTCGTCCGTGATACATATTTTACTTATTAAGCCTGAGTTGCATTGGCTACATTAATAATTAAGTGTTAATATTTGTTCTCTCTAGATTCATTGTGTGACCTATCATTACAACAATACTGTTGATAAAGGATAATCAAGTAAATAACATTATAACAGCTGACCTACATGTACAATGCCTTGTGTCTATCACCGAGCATGACTTTCTCCAAGTCATGTAAATTGATTCTAAAACAGCAGAGTTTGTTTATAATCACTTGAAACGGATGTGTGCAAGATAATCATTGTTTTGTTGCTAACTAGAATTTTCACTTCAATTTTTTTTTTCTTATTTCAAATTTCAACTACCGTGGTACCTGTATATGTGTTATTGCTTATTAGTGTCCACACTCATACAGAAGAAAGACAAAAATATTATCAGGACAAAAAGTTACATTGATATTAGACAACTGATGATATAATGCCATATCATCATCATATTGATATTGCCACTACTACCCTCTTAAGAAAGTTACACAATAAAGCTTATGGGCTTTACCAGTCATTGTACAAGAACTATGTTGAACTACAATGAAACTTGCTGTGTGTATAAAGACAATTTCGAACTACATGTTCCTGACACAGAAGCATGTCTAAACGTTACACATGGGATACAACCACAGCACACTACAACAATAACTGTGGAAGTAAATGGCTTAATAGCAGGCATTTGTTTGTTTTTTCTTGAACATGATGCCATGATGGACGGGACAAATATTAAGATCTCTTGTTGAGCTCTTAAT